CTCGCTCCGGTAAAAAGTACTTAGAATGGCGACATCACCTCTCGGAGTCAGTAGTCATTACGACGTTACGTTGTACTACAGTATCTTATCAGTGATGGTTTTGATCCGTCCGCATTCTCTCTGTAAAATACCGGGAGTAGCTGACGGAGCTGTGATGTGAATGCCCTGTCTGCTGCTCATGCAACACAGACTTCACTCGTGGTACCTTTCCCTGATTATGCTCATATGATACAGTACTCCGTAACCTAGTGTATACTTAAGTTTGGAAGTATAATAGATATCGAGCAAATACGTATCATCGAGACTCTCATGGTAGACATCGCGATTCCGAAAGGAGCAGCAATCTTCATCGCGCTCGCGTGAGGTGAACCGCCTCATCTCATTCATATATTCCAAATCAGAGTATATTAGAATTTCTAATGAACATGAAAATTGGTATGTGGAGAGAGTCTTCCCGATCCCTGGTTCATGATTGACTCAATTCAATCAAGATATCATATCAGCCGATAAGCTTGGCATCCAAGCTTCTCGACTCAAGATGTCCAAGTCTCGGAAGGGCAGCAAAGCTCTGCTAATTTCAGGAAGTTGTTCCGAACGTCACGTTGATCCTGCTGGGCGCAATCTTAGAAGCGCCGACAAGTGAGACGATCCCCAAGCTACACGGAGTGGGTGGAAAGCCTTGATGGCACCAAGTTGGCTCCTGAGGTGTTCACTGGGTAATCCAGAGGGGCATGTGACATATCATCGGTATATTGATATTTCTCGCCGGTTACGGTCTCGAGAGGACATTCTGATGGTGCATGGTTCTCTCCTGGGTGAGTCACTCACCATCAGTGACCAATGGTGACGATATGTACCTTTTTAAACGTACTCTCTTGTGAGTATATCACTATTGCGTGCTTGCCTGTGCTTTTGCATTGCATTGCTGCAGTCCATGCAATGCGGGCGTATCTCGTGTGAGTCCAGTTACCGACGCCCAACACCATAGAATGGTGCGGGATGATGTAGGGAGTCCAACGGGGTAAATTTGGATTCACCTTGTTTGATTGTATGCATGCACATGCTACTGAGTTCCTAGTCCTGAGGATTCAGTGACAGACTATCAAGCATTTTATTACCTGAACTCAGATACATCACCTGTCGCAGGGAATTCATCTTGAGCGCCGTCATCAACTCGATATGACGCGAGTCCATACGACTAAAAAAGCAAGAGATAGTACTACAAACTTTGTAAACTACAAATCCATAATGAGAAAACTCAGCCGCGGATGCTCTATAACAAAAGCATGATTTTTTTCACTGTTCAGCTTATGCTCAGCTATGCGGCAAATAAACATTCAAGTTTATCCCACCGCCACTTTGAACTGTACTATCGGCGATCGCTGCCGAGCAAAAGGGCCATACCACAATTTCGAATAAACTCGAGTCCATCCTGTCCATTGCCACGCCGAGCTTCTACAATCTCGCTGAGCCATTCGGGTGAAATGAGATGGAGACCAAAGCAGGCTAGCAATATTACAACGACCACCATCCTGGAACTTCCAGAGGGCAATCTCATGAATCCATGCAAGCTTATGAGCGGAAAAGAAAAACACGTGCTCCACCAGGCTGAACAAAGACGATACCGCATCATTTCAGTGTCACCAAACGATCACCGGTATTCAGCAAACGCTCTAGATAGAATCCAAGGAGCCTCACCAAAACAAAGGAGTATACGATAGACACTATCCAACTTTTAACGGACGTGACATCAACGTCACCTGATACCCGGATACCTGAGATTATCTACAAAAAGCATCAAAATATTTGAATTAGCATGGACACACCCTCGAAAACAACACAGCACCATCCATCTAACATACCCGAGCGAAAAACAACTTCCCATATGAGATTGACGAGCTCAATGAAATTAAAAAAAAGGAAACGGTAGGCATTCAAGTGTCTATCTCATTGAGGTAATCTCAACAACGGAAACTTGAGCAATCTCACGAGCTCCCTTCGGTGTCGGCAGCTACTGTTGGGGAGACGATTTTACCCACAATATCGTCATCGCGGAAAACCTGGAAGTCTTCACCGTCCAATTTCAAATTCATACCGCCGAACTCGGGAATGATAACCTTATCGCCAGGCTGGACCGAGATTGGAATCTGCAAGTCACAATACGGAAAGTCAGAGACTGAGACCATCCACCCCCACCTTGGTGCCATCATTGAGTACTCTACCGCTTCCCACAGCCATCACAACAGCCTGGTTGATCGTGGGCTTAGCAGCTTCAGGCAAGAACACTCCAGTCGCCGTCTTCGACTCGACACTAAAGAAATGACACAATACCAATAAGACTGTCTTATGATACCCAAGGAAGCTAGACGATTATGTTGCTGACAACTCACACCCACCAAGTGAATTAAGTCTAGTTCGAAAATCAGAGAGTTATTCCAGGCTAATATTTCCAGCTATGACGATGTCGGTGAAAATGAGGGCCCGAATTCGAAGGATTCAGGAGATCATAACGCTCCTTACGCTACGATGATATTGCAATCACTGACACCAGTCGAAAATTCTCACCGAAGTTTCTGCACAAGGACTCTATCAAGGAGAGGGATGAAGCGACTAGCGACCTTTGAGGCGGCAGTAGTGGCTTGGACGACAGACATGTACCGAAAGTAGCTCTTCGTGAATGAAAATGACCGACGATTCAACCTTAGGCAGTCACAGTCAACCAGTAAGCGGTATGTTGGGGAAATGCAAGAATGACAAGATTTGACTTTGTTGTGCCAGTGGCTTGACATCGTGCCACGCTTGTCCCCCAAATTTCGGTCCGAACACAATTGTTCCTGCATGCTAAAGTGCGGCAAGCTAGAGCTAGTAGCAGCCCATTCGTACTTCGTAACCATAGTTACAAAGTAACGTATTCCGCCCTCGTACAAGCCTATCTCAACTCACTTGTCGTGTATTTAGTTCTATTATTAGCAGGTCGTTATCCCTACGATTTCATATAATAAATCACATACATGTCGCCACATACGATTGATCGATTTTGATCAATGTTTGGGCGATAACCCAAGAAATTATAATAGTTGACGCCTGGTTTATGCAGTGGGTACAATCCCGTAAATATTCCGCGGTTCCTGGGGTAAATTTAAACGCGGCGTGTTTCCTCGTGATGTTATATAATCCATTATCCCTTCGCGGTTTCGTGGGTATTATCTCGGGGACTAGAGCTTACCGCCACACTTCGACTAACAGGTACCTTGACGGCGTCAAGTTGACGTCGTTCGCCAGCGCTCACTTGAGACTGTCTTAACTTCTGACACGCAAACCTCTCAACATGAATGGAAAATCAGAAAGACTCTCGCATCATGATTGACGGACATATTACCAGAAGAGTATACGACTTGTTGCTGCAGCGAGACAAATGGAGTAGGACTTGAGATAAAGACTCGACACGACAGGACCTCGTTGGCACAAAAATAAAAACCTCATATGTCGAGAGTTGCGAAAAAATAAGCCTCAGAGCTGCTGCTGCTTCTACACGAACTATTGAGGGTAGAAGCAGGCTCCTGGAACGTGCTCAGAGGACTCGCAAAATCCCATCGACGGGCATTTGTTATCCTGAAGGAGAGCCAACAAGTGAACTTGTTCCAGGTTTTTAGACGATTTCAGGCGCAAGTACCAATGACTGGTACATGCGCCTCAGTAACCAGGAATCACTGGCGACGCATCCAATTCTGCACGGTTAGAGAACCCAACAGCGAGGATTGAGGGAAGTCCCTCAGGGGTTATAAAACCCTCAATCCAGCTCGATCGGCCTCATCACGAGGCGGAAGTTTCATCATGCAATGGAGGTCGCCGTGGCGTCGAAGGTACAGTAATAGTGTCAAATTCTTCTAGTGTGATCGAATGAAGAAACCATAAGTTACGACAGAGTCCCCACCTTCTTGCAATCGACGAAACATAATCCATCAATTGCCTTGGTGTGAAAGCCTGCAGGGCCGCTTTGACAGAACTTATCCAGATAAGGCCTAGGTGCACAGACCGAACCCAGAACTTGTTGGTCCTGAAACCACTGAGTACAGATGTCGCGAATCACAACAGTACACTCACCCGGACCAACAAAGCTGGCATCGAAAGACGACAAGAACAATTGGTGATCTCACCATCCGTGTATTTACACACACCAGTTGGCTTCATGTAAAACCCTAGAAAAAAGCGAGCGACTGAGCGAGACTTGCCGATTTGAGGGTGATTTGACTAACCTCCTGTCGGGAGAGCATATGGCGCCTCTGCAGCGGTGCGTGATCTGAAAACAACTGAGCAGTTTTACAAATCCCGTGAGAGAGATATACTCAGTTCGATCGAACATCGTTACACGGCCCGACCCACTCGAAAGCTGCACTTGAAGATACGAG